AAGACATCCCACAACCAGAAAATCAATTCAAAGCTCAAAAACAACAAGAAAATCCGATTTTAAGAAAACCCACGTATAAATCAAAAGTAAAAACAGCAAGAAACGGATTTCACCTGTTGAGGATTGGATGAGTGCTTAGGGCTCGATGGAAAGTGCAGAGCCTTACGACGAAGAGGTCTAACATAATCGGCACCGGTGCCTACTACTAAAAGCACCGTTAACACAACAATCATCGATTTTTTTTCCATGTTTTTCATTCCTCGGTCCGATTTATATTTTAGTGTTAAAAAACAGAGAAAATTTATTGCTTTCCCAGTAGATTATACAGTGAGTGGTCGCCTCTTGAACAGTAATTTAGTGAATTGCATTTAAAGATTACGTAACGTTTGGATCTTGAAAGATGAACGGAAGAAATATAAGAATATTTTCCCATTATAATATTTTTAAAAACTTTCCTTTTTATGCTTATATCTGTATATCTTTTATATTTTGAGAGTTCATTATTTTCAATTCAAACTTTACGAATAATTCATCTCGTAAATATTTTCAAGAACATCTTAAAATTTCTTAAAGGCTTCTACTTCTTGTAGAAGCGGTGCACGAGGCTAAGAAGTTATTTTAAGTCAATTCTTTTAAAAATTCTTCAAACTAAAAAAAATGCTTTTAAAAATTTACTCAAGCATATTCAAAGTAAGAAAATGCTATTTGTCCATAGCATTTTACATAATGGGTGGCAGGCGCCCATCAATAGGGAGCCTTCACTCGTCAATTGTGGCACCCATTATGTACGCTTAGCATAATCCATTCAAAGTAACTCCTAAATGTCTGTTTGACCGTCTTTAATTTATTTTATGATTTGGTATATGGTCATTTTCAATCAAATATTCACACCATAAAATATTTTATACGTATATGAAAAAATTTTCTACTTTTTGACCACACATTCTCTAAATATCACTATTTAAAACTCTATTTTTCTATCAAAATGGTTGTCAAACAGGCACTAACAACTTTTAATTTTTCAAAAGCACCAACAAACCCTTATACGTGATATACATGCCATGAAAAATCGGAAAAGTCTAAGTGTACATAATTTGGCCACATAATGGTGTCCATAATATGATGTGGACAAGATCTGACTGTTGATGTGAAAGTGTGAGATTTGAATTAAAGGTTGAATCCAGTGCCACGTGTAATTATGGACACCATTATGTACAAAATTATGTACATGTAGCACTTCCCTGAAAAATCAGTGTGAATCCATTCTTAAAAATTTAAAGAGTTGTACATGGTGTTTTGTAAAGCAGAATGTCAGAATACCAAGTGGGAACACTGCATTGGATGTTGAACAATAAAAAAAAATTGAACAGAATAATTGAGTGCTGCCAAGTGCCACCCAACATTTTGTCAAACTGCCTGACAAACTAAGGTAGCATGAAAGAAAGAAAAAATAGTTTCTAAATTGATTGAACTCAGAGTGTGTTTGGTAGGGATTTTAAGGAGAAAAATTGATTTTTGAATAGTGATATGATGGGAAATGTGTGGTTGAAAAAGAAGAAAAAAGTATTGATGTGATGGAAAATATTATTTTATTGAAGAATGTGTGGTTGAAAATGAGAA